TCTACGCTGTAGATAGTAGTTGATGAACTGGCTTGAAAAGTAACAGTTTAATATTCAAGATTATAAGAAAACACAAGTTTTACAAGACATTTTTCGACTGAAACAATTTCATTACATCGATCATGAACATTAAATAGCGTCGTGAAATTATACATGTATTCACAAGCTGTAATGCATTGAAGAGCATTATATGGCATACAACAGTAAGAGAAATAAGAGACGAATATCCAATAAAGGAATACGATAAAAAGAAAGAACAAGAAAGTTTTTTTGATTATTGAGAAATGATGAAAACGCTGTTATATATGATATGTTTTGCTTCTATATTATATGCAACTATTATATTCTGCATTATGAACAAATTTTTATTGTTGCGCGAAAAAGTGACACTTTCTATTGACATTTCCACGTGGTATATTCTATGGTGTTTTTTTCTTCGGCAAATACATAAATATAAGAAAAATAGTCAGTTTAATTTTTTGATGAAATCAATCTTTCAGATTTTATCTTAATTTGTTTCATACTACATTCAAGCAATAACTAGTATTCACAAAGAACTGAATCATCTGGTAAAATTTTCCTTTGTAGATGTCACATATTTCTTACCATTGAAAAGTTTTATTCTACACCTATTCACCAGTTCCTGTCTTTTCTTCTCAATTCAATGTGTAAACAGATAAGACAGATTTAACATCGTCTCACTGTGGTGAGTCATAATAATAAAATTAGGATAATACAGAGAAGATTAGCATAGCCCCCATGCAAGGACGACACGCAAAATCGTGCAGCGTTTCATATTTTTTTTTTGTCTCTTTCAGTTTCTACTAAATGATTCAATACAAAAACAATAACCGAGTCCCAACTCTGGTCACTTCTTGAGAAATCTTGGAAGAACTTTGAGGATCCTCAGGGTATGGGTGACAGCAGAAGAAACATCCATGTCTACAACCACATTTCACACTTACACATCCAATTATCATTTAGAAATGAGAAAAAGTTTTCGTGCTCGTGAGAATATGGCGAGTGCATATCTGACATCCATTTTTCGAGAACACAATTCCGTCCAGGAACTGTAAAATTGAGGAAAACGGCAATTAGTAGATGAAAGTTTTCTTATATAGTCATAAATGACTCAATTTGAAAAAGATTATTAATATTTCAGATGCTAAATGCAATAGTTTCCTTATATAGCAAGTTGGTTCAGATTCATTATCTTTCAACTTGTTAGCTGAATCACGGTAGTTAAATATGACTAGTGTTCATTATAATTTTCTCTATGGAAGCTTAAGATTTATAATTAGCGGACTTCACATAGGATCGTGAGCCGTCTTTTCTACTCTGACTTTGTTCCAGTGCTTGTCTAGTTCTTCATCTGTTCTTTTGTCTGTTTTGCTACAAATATTAACATATTTGTTAAAAATGTCAAAATCAAGCAGTACGACACTTTTTGATTACAAAGATTAAGAAAATTCGGGGCATTGCTTTTCTGTATATTGTACTGATCACGACTATTCTTTCGCGAAAAATTTTCGGAACAAATGAATTTGCTTATTTACATGTGTTTAACACAAAAAAAAGGGTCAATGTTTTTTATTGAGTGTTTTTATGAAGGTAACTTGACAGTTTGATTGTGAAATAAAATAAAATACAAAAGTCATATCGTTTAAACTTCTTGTTTTTCTTTGAAAAAATATATTTAAATGTCTAAGTAGAGGAGAATTCTGATTGCAATCATAACTCACTCAGAAATAGTATTCTTCGTCTTAGTAATAGACAAAAATCAAAAAAAAAAAACTATCGTAAAAGTGAGACTTTAAATTCAGATATTTTTGACATACTCATGTTTTTTGCTTTTGAATAAAATATCATAGAAATTAGATTGATATGATGTTTTTTTTTAATCGTGAAGCTCAGTCGCACGAAAAATGTATGTCAAGGTGTCACTAATTAAAATAGAAGTTTTTGGTCATTTTCCCATAAGATTCGACTTACAGTACTTTCACATTTTAAAGTCAACTTGCAGTTCAAAAAATCTAGACTATTATTTAATTGGTTTTGTCTTATGATTAGTATTGTTTATTGAATTCTTTTCTTTTTTGTTAATAAGATCTAAAGAAAATTATGAGCAAAAAAACATGTTTGTCTTTAAATGAAATATTTTTATCGTACAGAATCAATCATCAAAAGATTGAATTAGTTTAAGGGAATTGAGAATAATACTACCAACATGTGATGTCATAGGTGCATGTGAACTATTTCGATTTTCAATTATTTGTTTGACAAATGGTAGTAGATTATCATCGAATCGAACTTTATACATTTTCAAATGACGACGATGTTTAGTATTACGAACAAATCCATCGACATTGATCCAACCTTTTTTAAATGCTTCTTCTTGTTCTCTTGTTCGAGGTTTTGGACATAAACTTAAACATTGACAATAAGCTGTTTGTTCATCAATTGTTTCAAAATAAAGAGTACCATTAAAAATAAATAATTGAACCAACCATTTGAGTGGTATTAAGAATGGAATAGTATCATTCGAATGTTTAATTAATGGGGGGATTGTGAGAGATGGTGTATTAACAAAAACTGATTGGACACGTTTAATACGTGGTAACAATAAGCGTAATGTTGTGATTGATGCTTGGTTAGATTTTCGTTTGTGATAAAGAGAGTTTAAACGACCTATCAACCAATTGGCTTCTAAAGCACTAAGAAAAATTAATTGCTGGTTACGGTAGATAATAATCCATCGTGGTGGACGTAAAAATGGATTTAATGATTCTCCTTTAGTCTCAATTACACGTTGAAATTCAGTTGATATCCAAAAATTTTCTTCCCAATTACGCGCTTGACAATCATTAAGAAATGTTGTATCAATAAAAGCATATGGTATATTACGAAATACATGAGGATAGTCTATTAGATTCATCATAGCACTATCTATATCACACAATCGTTTAATATCCTCATGAAGTATAGGTTCACATGGGGTGACAGATGGTGGACGTTCTAGTTGACGTTCTTCTTCTAATTCTTGTTCTAATTCTCTTTGTTGTTCTTCATCTAATAGTTGTGATAAACGTTGTTTTGTTCCACCATAATCTTTTAATCGTTTTAATATTTCATCTCTAATTTCTTTCCATATATGATGAGAAGTTTGTGCATATCGATTAAGATGAATTTCAAATAATGTTTGCAATTTTTTCGAAGCTCCATACATACTTGTGAGTTCAATTATTTCAGAATCTGAACATTCGTTAGCTAAATCTTTCATCAATGCATCAGTAAACGTTTGTTGATCATCATACCACTTAATATGTCGAAATGCAGAAACATTTCTTTGATAACTTAAACTTTGTGAAGCCCAATGATGTAGACCATCCCAAGTTGATTGTTGCGTATTTTCATAGACCCAACGAAGAATATCAATCAACTTTATCAAGTCATTTATATTATCTTCTTGATTTTTAATAAGAGATATTGTTTTTAATGTTTTAATTTGTTGATGAACTTCATGTGAACTCCAAAATGTTAACGAATGTCCATTACCTAATTTTCTCATTCTCATACATGCTTGAACAAAACGATCCTTTGTTAAACCATTTCCTAATGTTACAGCAGCTTTAAATTTTATAGGAAATTTAAAATCAGTTCCTCGAGTATGAATTTCATCTAAATAGAATATACAACGATCTAATCGTTCACTTGCAGGAGATGTTACAAATGGATAACGATGAAATTGACGATCACAAACAACAATTAAATCAGAATCAAAATAAACAACATAATCAATCTTATTTTTATCAGATAGTTTTAACCATTTAATAGCAATATCTTGATTAGTTCCATCGATGAATAATGCTCCAACATCTAAAATAACGTTGATGGTTTCTTGATAATCTACAATTTGTTTTAAAATATTTTCTGATGTGACATTAATTGGTAAAATTTGATAATTTTCATTTTCATTTTGTAATAAATTATTAATGACAATTGCATCTGTTTTTTGAAGTTCTGGTAAATCATACTGTCGAATATGAATAGGAAGTAATAATTGTGTATCATTAGTTCCACTAAATCCAGTGATTATTTTTGATCGTAAAGATGAAGATAAATCCCAAACAGAGGCAACTAATTTATGTGGAAATTGTTTTGCTTCTCGAGGAAATACAAAATGATTAAGAAAATAATTAATAACTAACATATTATATCGAAAAGTCGGAAATAGATAATCAATTTGTTGTTGATAATCTTTTAAATTAACTCCATTCCATTGTTGAATACTTTTTGATATATATTTTTCATCTTCATATAAAATCCATTGATCATAAATTGATGTAGGATCAGTTTCTTCTTCATTTAAACGATTGAAACATTGAGATAATTGTAAATCACTTAAACCTGAATAGTAATACGAGAGTTGTGTCAATACTAAAGCAACATCAGGATGACCGAATTCGGTTCTATCGGCTGCAACATCTTTTGCGCGAAATGGTACAGCCATTAAACGATTAAAAGTAAGACTTGGATTGACACCATAATTAACTCGATATCGTTTTTTAAAAGCAACTAATAAAACTTCTGATAATAATAAACCACGAATAATGAGAAATAATTGAATATCAAGACATGGAAATTTATCAATGAGAGATTCAATTGATAAATGTGTTTCTAAAATAAATGATAATATAATTTGTTTATCTGCATAACGATAATTTCTACTATCGATCCAATCATGTGCAATTTTTTGACAAAGTAATGAAAATGGTTCATTTGATTGTAACCGAAATTGTGGAAATGCACTTTTTCGTTCCGATGGTTTATAGCAAACATTTTCGCAGAAACATTTTGAAATCTCGGCAGCATGTTTTTTAACTAATTCAAGAATTGTTTGAATAGTTTTCCAACGTTCTGCACCTCCATCAACTTGTTGTTGACTACCAACAGTATAAATCAATTGATATTTAACATGTAAAATTTCATCTGATTCATCTAATACATCACGAACATATGTTTTTAGCCATTGTTGAACTTTTAACATAGAACGACCAACATCAAATTCATTTCGTCGACATTTATCAATAGTAAGTAAATCAAATGAAAGAATATCTTCTGGTGATGTCAATATAATATTACAATTACTTAAACTTTGTTGAAAACGTTTAAAAATTTGATTTATTTGTACAGTATTGAAATTCATCTCACGACGACATGTAAATGGAAAAATACGTCGATTAAGTAAACCACCTAATTTATATCGTAATGATTGATAATTTGTTGGAAATAATGATTTAAGTACTATAATACGAACTAAACTGGAATTAGATGAAGATAAATTAACAGCTAACATTGGTAAAATGACTGATGTTTTTCCTTCACCCATATTCATTTGCATCACTATATTTCGTACTGTTGAATTATCTATTGTCATATTTGGTTGTATCATATGTTGTGCTACTTTTATTTGTATTTCACGTATGGTTATATTCATTTCTAATTCCAAAATAAGCCAAGAAATATGTTCAGATGGTTTCCAATTTGAATGTGGTATATGTGATATTTCTTTTTTAAAATCTTCCCATTTTTCAACAATAGCAAAATGCAAAGTTCTTTCGAGTTGCTGTTCTAATGTCCAATTGACAATAATACCGCCAAGTAATGTGCATTGATCGATAGTCAATATAAGTGATAAAGATTTTTCAATATATGAATTCTTTTCTTGAAATAGAGGTATAAGAGTTGTTGGTGTAATTCTTAAAATGAGACCTGTTTCAAATAATTGTTCATTGTACAATGTAATAGAATGAAATAATTCATTCCAGAACTTTGTGGATTCTTCTCGAAAAGAATCGAGAAGTTGAATGATTTTTTTAATTGAAGGATATGCTTTTCCATATTGGCTGTCCGAAAGAAATTTGTTCCAACTTTGAGATAATTGATTTTTAAAATAATTAGTAATTTCGCTTAGAGCATAGTCTTGTTTGGTGACAGAAGGAAAAATTTCTTGTGGAAATGCATTTTGTCGATCAGTTCGTTGAGAAGAGTTAGGTGCTTGACTAAAATAATCTGAATTGAAATCATGAAATTTTTGTTCAGCATTTCGTAAAAGTATCGGATCGACTGATTTCTCTATAGGTTTGATTTGTATTTGATAGTGATCGTCGAGTTGTTCACGTGCAAATTTTTGAGCATGATATGGTACTTTGATATCAAACTGTTCTATCGGAACGGACCAAATGAGGCGTTGAACGGTTTCTAAAAAAGATCGAAGTTTTTTGTTAGACCACCACGCTTGTAATGATCCATTGATTTCACTTATTTCATCATACGTTAACAGGTCGTCGTAATCTTCAAACCTATCACCGCATTCAAAACAGTCTCGAATTCTTGCTAAAATTTTGCTTTGTTGGCGTGAAGTAAGATTATCTGAAAGATAGACATTCTCATTTACAACTCGAATTCGTTCGATATAATAATGACGAATAAAAGGAGGAAATTCAACAGATCTTAGCGATATGGTAGAAAGTTTCAAAGCTGTTTTTAACATTTGCAAATAAAATGGATTGATGTTACGTTTAACGGAAATATACTGAAGAAAGTCTAACAAGCCTTCCAATCGTTTAACATCGTCCGTATGATTACCAGTCGCTACTGTTTTAATACGGTCAACTAATTTTAATAAACCAATCCAAATATTTTTCAATTTATTTTTATCAGTCAGCCATTGAGATAAGGGTAACCAATGCTGATTCGAACAGTCTCTAAGATCTACATCTCCATTATTATATAGATCATCTACAAGACGAGTAGCACTGTAATTAGTGGAATGTAAACAACGATTGACAGTCGGATTATATACCTTCACTGCTTTAGTACACAAGATGTCAGCTTCCATCTCTACAGATAATCTCGCTATAGGATTATATGAATCTCGATAGTCCCAATATAGTTTTTTCAATAATAGTTCATTTTGTATTTTTCCTTGAAATAATTCTGGAGTTTTATATGATTTCAATGATGGATACATAAAATTGAATATTTGACTACTGTCGATTAGTTTTTTTGCTATTAAATAATAACCGAAATGTTGCATCGAATATGGTAAACCATTTGAATTCCAGTCTATTTTTTCTATAATAGTTGTTTTTTCTGGATAATAATCAACCTTCGGAGAAATGGATGCAATTTGACAAAGAATATTTAAAGAAATTTCATCAAAAGGTTGGTCTGACCAACAACCAGCGGAGTTCAATAATTGAAAGGCTCGTTCCATTCCAGTCATTCCAGTATATTGGTCGGGTAAAGGATGAGAAGTCATTGCATGTAACAATGCTAAATAGAGCCATCCAGTTGGACTATCTGTTGATTGAAGTATTTTTAATCGATCATTGAGAATAAAAACGAAATATTGATGAGGAAACAATATTGAAGAGGATCGGTCTATGGTAACACTTTGGTGGTTCGTGCAATAATTTATTTTACTTTGAAGAGTACCAAATGGTACAATCAATTTTCGATACGGATAATGATTCAATGTGTAATTATTGGTTGATAATGGTGATAAGAGAAGACCAAACCTTAAACCTGTCAAAGTTCCTAACCATTGATCTTTATCGATACACATATCTGAATATTCACGAGATTTTATGATATTGGTTGAAGAATTGTATTCGAAAGCAATGCCTAAACGAGATAAATGAATGTAAATAATAATATCAGTCTGAGAGATATTGCCGCTCATCATGTAAACATAGGGTTTATCATCGAGACGACTAAAGTAACGGTCAAATAATTTTTGAAAGAATGTTGATGATTGATTGATCAAAATTTGCACATTGTTTGCTACGGTAGTAATAACATATCCTGTTTTCAATGATAAAATATATGGTTTGTTATCTAAAAAGTCAGGCTCTTTAAAATGAATAGGTCGAAATTCTACTATCTGAGTTTTTATGTTCATCCAATGACTATGTCTGGAGACAAATATGTCGGGTAATTCTTTCTGAAAATAAGTATGAGCAATTAATTGAAATGTATCAGCTGTTTGTATATGTCGTTCATTTATTGTCAAACATTTGGTTTGATCATTGAAATAAAATTCATATTGAACTCTTCCATTGCCATGATATGAATGTTTAGTAATATAAGTATTAGGTGATTCAGCTAATTGAACTTCAAAAATATGATAATCAAATAAACGTACAAATAATTCATTAGCTGTTATTTTTTCAGGTAAAAAACCAATGGCCATATCATCAACTAAAAAGGTTCCTCTGATACAATCAATCGAAATAGATCGTAATTCATATCGACAATCGTACCAACCATCATAGGGATCTTGTTTTCGTTTTTTCCATTTTCCATTCATAGTTCCTTTCCTTCTTAGAACAGCCCAATAGATCGCAGCAAACTCATTTAAACTTTGATAGGCAGTGTCTTTAAGAAATTTAGCAATTGTTGGTTGTACCATAACTAAGATACGTTCACTAAATCTCATAAGATTTCTCACAAATGTACTCATATTAGATTGATTCTTGTTTAGAATAATATTATCGTGAATAGTAGTTGCTGATTTCAGTAGAGATACAATATGTTCATTCGATGACAATAAATACTGTAATCGATCAGAATCGGTCGAAAATGTTAAGATGCATGAAATACCAATAATTACAATTTTCAAACGAAGTTTTTCCGTTTTATCAAAAGCTGATGGCAATATGGTTTGAATATTCTCTGAAATAAGAGCAATCCATTTCTCACCGATTCTACGACATTTCATTGCCAAATCAACTATTTTATCTTGTCTTGTAGAATTACAAATGGCTAACATTCTCATAGTAATCATCGTAATAGCTACTAATACCAATTCATTTTGCCAATTTAATTCACAATCATCTAGACGACGATCTAATCTTATAATCAATTCATCAATAAAATGATCTTCTAATATTTGTTCATGGGCTTCTGAACACCAAGAATTACAAAGTGAATTAACGCTCATTGTCTGTGGACCGTATTGCAATATTGAATGCATAATCAATATGACTACACTTTCTTCAGAAATAGGCAATGAGTCCATTTCAAATATTGCCAAGAGATTCCACCATTGTAAACGATGACCTGATCTAAATGAACCATATTCTATAAATTGAATCGGCTTGAGTCGTCCTGGACATTCAGACAGTTTAGCAATAACACTATTTTGTACAAATTTGGTAGTGTTTATTGTAAATTGTAATGATTTGTAATCTGGATGATCAAGTTGAGGTGTTAATATACGACATTCTTCGTCGAATCTAATTGGATTTGTCGGTGTGATTTGAACAGTCAAACTATTTTCGTACAAAAAATTTTCGATGGAGTCAGTGGCAATCGATGGTGGACATGAATCACGAATTTGCGTTTCAGAATTATTGGAAGACACCAATTTCACTTTGCAGTTATTTGGGCCAATAAAAAATGGCGTTAATTTATTTTTATGAGGAAGAATACTTAACCATTCATGCATATTATGTTTTGGGTGTGGTTTTGGACGATTTACAAATTGCCAGATAATATCACGATAATATCGAATTTCAATGGGCATTTGTAATTCAAAAATAACAGCTAATGCACTTTCGCGGTTGGATGGTAATGGACATTCGAAAATTTTCACTTGAATACTATTCGCTTGTTCTCGAATTGAACATGTATTACATGTTTGACGAGAACCATACCTATAACTACATGTACAAGAACGGCCATTGATTGAATTCATAAGGCGCGTGTATCTTTCTTTAGCATCTTTGACTTCCTGTATTTTCTTTTGTTTATCCGATTCAGCTTGAGCTCTAATTTTCTGTATACTTTCATTCATCGCCGGTGACTGAGAGGCATAATACACACCGAATGAATCAACGCAATTTATAGTTGATAAAAGATCAGGATATTTTTGATGACTGAATTTACTAAAATAATTTTTGAGATTTCGAACTCGAATCATATTTTCTCGATTTGGTACGACTAAAAATTCGAACAAATTCATAAGATTTGGAATATCAATAGAATGTAATTTAAGTCGTTCGAATCTTGAATCATTACATAATTTTTGATGTATTGACTGAATAATTGTCAATGACGTTAGAATAAATCGACTATAACCCATAGGATCTGTTGGACCATTTTCTGACCAATAATGATTTAATGCTACATTCTGATATTCTTCGAAGAAGTTCAACAAAGTTTCAAGTCGATTCCTTTCGCTTAAGCATATTTTTGAGCTATTGATCCATTGGTTTAAATATGATTCCACCCAAATTTCCATACGAGTCAAAGCTATTTCAATAGTATAATTGAATTTTTCTGTTAATTCTTTAATCGATGGTATGTAATCATCTTGAATAACGTTACTATGCACTTCATATTTCTTAATTCCTGGCAAAAGTGTGATTGTTTGGCCGAAGTTTTGATGATTTAGATAAGCTTTTAAGTTTTCGCATAAATGTTGATAAATATTACGTTTAATAAATTTGAAGTTTGTCATCGATAATTTTTGATTTGTTTCTTCATTAATTTGAATAGATTTTTGCCAATCTGATTTTGGCATAATTTGATTGATTTTCATTTGTATTTCTTGTTTCGTATATTGTATCCATTGCTTTTCATCATTTGATATTATAGACGATAATAAATTTTCGATTTTATTTAATCGTCGTACAATTTTTCGAGTACAGTGAACTAATAAATCAGTATAGATTGTCGTATATGTTTTGTAAATAACATATGTTAGAAAATCAGTGATCAATAATTTATAAACAAGGATGCCCGCATGCCCCAAACGTTTAGTTAGAATGATTTGAAGCACGACTTTGATAGTCAACCATAAGCCGGAACGTCGAAAAGGTACCATGGCTTTATTCCATCTGATATGATCACGATGTTTTTTCTTGAACTGAATGGACATATTGGAGCTGTTTTCGATTTGAATTCCTTGAAATTGTTGAATCCACCACTGACATACATAATGAGATTCCGGTACATCATGTATTTGATTTTTTTGTCGAGAAGTTTGATAAGATTTGGAGTATTCAATCGTGTTTTGCATAAAATCCATCAACAATTCACAGTGCACTTTGGAGCTCAGTTGAGATCGATTGTTCAATCTGTAAGTTGTTACTGGAAAGAAAGCAACATGAGGAATCAGAGAAGAAGTAATATCTGAAGTTGGTAGTAAAACTTGCCATGATGAAACTAATGGTTGATCAATGTTATTTTCTTCAATTTCAATGAGAATTGTAGCATTTTGAGCATGGAAATATAATGGAAGAAAACTTCCTGGTGGTAGTTGTTCAGTAATGGCTTGTATATTTGATTCAGAAAAGTTTCGAGGATTCTGTAAGAAAGACCATTGTTCAATGCAATCATTAAACACTCGAAATATTGATAACTTATTAGCATCATTTCTCAATTCAATATCATTCAAATATTCTTTCATATATTGTAGCATGATGTATTCATCTTGATGGTTGAATTTAATTAAAAAATCATCATCAGCAGAAGATGGTAGGTAATGTGGAAGAAACAAGTGGTTTATAATTGATTCATCCATCGCCTAGAATCGTAAGAATATATGGTGACGGAGTATGAGATTTGTTGTGATGTTAGAAAAATAAATGCAATTATCGAATTGCAGACAAAAACAATCGGAAAAATTGAGAGGCGCGCATGAGATGCAAAAAACAGATTCCTTGTAGCTAATGTAAACTTGGAAGGCAAAAAACAAAACAGTAGACTGTTTAAGTAATGAAACGAAATGGAGGAGAAAAATCAACATTCCATTGTACTGTTATAATTAAACAAAAGCAAAAAACACTCAACTATTGCCATAAATTCCAGTATGGGGTGTGGATGTGGGATGTATTGTTGTAGTTCGATGTGGCTCTGGTGGTAGGGGGTGTGGGTGTGGATGCAGTTATTGCATCACTCTTCTTTTCACACGCTTTCCACACACACACCACTGCAAATGTACAACTGAATGCCCTATAAATTTTGATTTCTTGATTCTTTTGAAGAAAAATATTATTTTGTCTTAGCTGTTGCATGCTACCAATAAATAGCTTCATCCAGTTTAACCCATGAACTAAATTCTATATTAAGAACCAGAGTTGTCAGCGTTGCATTAATAAGGAACAGGAACACATTTTATATCTTGCTTTCTAGTATCATTGCAATCTACTGATATTCTCATACTCTTTCACTTATCTTTTTATGCAAGAATGTTACGTATTCTCCATTCCTATGTGCGAAACGCAAAAGTGAAAGTTATAGTGTGAGTCTTTCCATTATTAACACACACTCTAATGTCCGATTGCTTTTTCTACATAGTTGACGTTTATTGAAGCAGAGAAAACAAGATTTTTCTACTTGATGATGTGAATCGAAAAAAATACGTATTATACATGATTGTTGCTTTTATTCTCTACTTTGTTTCGATCAATTTGTTCGTTCTTCCCTTGCAATAAATTCCGAGGTCCCTTCATCTCAGTCGTTGTTTCTCGCCGGCTCGTGACTTTTTTCCTTATATTCATCAACATATATATCTTATTCTGCCTTGTAGAACGTCATAGAGACTGCATCAATATACTCCACAAAAAGAAATCGAATGTGCAAAAAAAAACAATTCTCTATATGATTTATAGTTTTTAGTTTAAATTGGTATGTAAGGTGCGTGTAATGCAAAAATCGAGCAGAAAATGAATTTAGCT